GGGAGCCGTCTTCAGGCCCCGGGACCGTCGAAAGCGGATCCGGGGCCAGAAATTGCACCACATGGGCCCTGGGACGGGTCCAGGGATTTGGCATCTCTCGGACGTGTGCAATTTTTCGTCGGCGGGACTATCGAGGAGCATTTTGGTGGATCATCTTGCGAAACATACCCGCACGAAATCGAAAAATGCACAGGGAATGGACGTCCGAGCGATGACGAGGGGACCGACGTTGAGCGGATCTGCCTGCAGCCCCCCTTTCCCCCCTTGACGGGTGCTGTCGGGGCCCGACCGGCCGCCTTCAGCCTGCATTGGCTACATGGATGGGGGGTGGTACAGAGAGCTTGAAATGTCCAGTTGTTCCTTACAGTGAGCGGCTCGAATAAGGAACACTTACTTTTCAAAAGGGGCTCGGTCGTTCCTTAGGCTTGCATGCGTTATTTACGCTTCCTTATGCGTTCTTTGTTATTTATCGTTCCTTATGCGTTATTCCTTGGGATAAAAAAAGGGGCTTCCTTCTTTATTTATCGTTCCTTAGGTCAGGCCGATGACTGTACACGGAAGGAGGGTGGCTGGTTTCAATATGAGCGGCGGGGGTCGTTGGAGCCGAGATTGGCGCGCAAGTTGCCCGCGCAAGGTTGCGCAAACGCCCTCGCTTCCAGCGCAGCGTGCCGCGCTGGCGGCCCGCGTAAGCTGCGGCGTAAGGTCGCTGTGCCATCTCGCGTAAGACACGTTTTTTGATCGTCGCCCAGTTGTTCTTGACACGGATGGAGGGTGGCTGGTTTTCAAAGTTCGGTTCTCACCTCAGCGCCGCGTTCCACCCGTCGGATGGAACGCCGTATTTGAGGTCCGTTTTGCAAAATTGGATTCTCGCTCAGGGGCAGGCCAGACGTAAAAGCTTGCAGCAGCCACGGAGGAGGGCGCGGATCGGCACAAGGGAGTTCGAGGCGCCCTCTTTTGTTCGATGTTCAGCTTGGTCGGATCGATCTTGCAGTGGAGAGGGGAAGGGAGATGGGGGAGGGGGAGACGCCAGGAGGGTGAGTTTGAGGAGAGATTCCTGGCCTTGACGTGAGGCCCCTCCTTCTGCCCCCCCTCTTTGTTAATTAAAGCTGTGCACGGCCCTCTTAGCTTCGACCAGAAGAGGTGCGCTCTCGACCCGCGAATCAAAAAAGAGTTTGAGGAGAGATAATGTATGCCCCGTTGTTTGGTCTTCGGTGTGCAGCAGCTGCACCGACGGAAGGCACATCCTTTTCAAGGAGGGCCTTCGTACGACACGTACTTTGACTTGATGCCCGTGCACATCGACACCCACAGCATGCACGAGGATGGGGGGCGGCTCCTTTCCGAAAACAAGCCTCCCGCCCAGACGGTAGACCCGCGAGGCATCAGCTCTTCGAGTAGACCCGCGAGGCATCAGATCTTCGAGGGGCACTCACCGCACCGTGTATCGGAAAAACCTGCAGGGCGGCGAGTTGCTGATGCATCCTCAGTTTGCTCTTGTCCTTCTCGTGGAAGAGATGTGTGTACGACATGGCATGCCAGGCGTCTGGCGGTCCGCAGGCCTTGAGCGTTCTGTGGCAGGAAGGGCTGGATGCCTGGCGGTCGATCGCTAAAAGCTTCAGCTCTGCGCTTTCACGCGGCGGTGCATGATCATAATTATTATCTTATGGTTTTCCGTGTCGTGCTTCACAGCAGTGTCGCTTCACTCTCGCCCATGCGCCTGTGATGTGCACGGCGTCTCTTTCTCTCTCTCTCTCTCTCTCTTCTTCTTCGCCCGCCTCCATGGCCCGCATGATCATACTATCCTACGGCTTTCCACGTCAGGCTTCACGGCAGCGCCGCTTCACTGTCGCCCATGCGCCTCTGCTGTGCACGGCGTCCCTCTCTCTCTCTCTCTCTCTCTCTCTTTTTCCTCCGCCTCCATGGCCTGCACGATCATACTATCCTATTGTTTTCCGTTTTCATGCTTCACGGCAGCGCCGTTTCACTCTCGCCCATGCGCCTCTGCTGTGCACGGCGCCTCTCTCTCTCTCTCTTCTTCCTCCGCCTCCACGGCCTGCACGTGGACGCGCCGGGCACAGGCGTGGACGCAGGGCGGCCCCCTTTTTCAGAGCAGGCCTCCCGCCCGAGTGGCGGGCCCACGAGACCGGCCCTTCCGAGGGGCGCTCGCCGCACCCTGACACAGGGAGGAATTAGCCTGGCGAAGGACCCAACCATATGCAGCTGCGAGTACCGCACGGATATGATACGAAGGAGGGGGCACGCAAACCAGGCCCCTCTTCTCATAGGCACCGCGCCTCTGGGGCCTTCGGTGGAGCTCCCTATGGGGCCACGAAACGTGTGAAGGGTGTGCCGAAATGGGTGGTGGGGAGGCATGCGAACCCTGCCACTGGGGCCTTCGGTGGAGCTCCCTATGGGGCCACGAAACGTGTGAAGGGTGTGCCGAAATGGGTGGTGGGGAGGCATGCGAACGCAGCCACTGGGGCCTTCGGTGGAGCTCCCTATGGGGCCACGAAACGTGTGAGGGGTGTGCCGAAATGGGTGGTGGGGAGGCATGCGACAGCCACTGGGGCCTTCGGTGGATGCTGGTGGGGCCACTGGGGCCTTCGGTGGAGCTCCCTATGGGGCCACGAAACGTGTGAGGGGTGTGCCGAAATCTGTGCGGTGGGCGCATGGGAGCGCAGCCACTGGGGCCTTCGCTGGAGCTCCCTATGGGGCCACGAAACGTGTGAGGGGTGTGCCGAAATGGGTGCGGTGGGCGCATGGGAGCGCAGCCACTGGGGCCTTCGGTGGAGCTCCCTATGGGGCCACGAAACGTGTGAGGGGTGTGCCGAAATGGGTGCGGTGGGCGCATGGGAGCGCAGCCACTGGGGCCTTCGGTGGAGCTCCCTATGGGGCCACGAAACGTGTGAGGGGTGTGCCGAAATGGGTGCGGTGGGCGCATGGGAGCGCAGCCACTGGGGCCTTCGCTGGAGCTCCCTATGGGGCCACGAAACGTGTGAGGGGTGTGCCGAAATGGGTGCGGTGGGCGCATGGGAGCGCAGCCACTGGGGCCTTCGGTGGAGCTCCCTATGGGGCCACGAAACGTGTGAGGGGTGTGCCGAATGGGTGCGGTGGGCGCATGGGAGCGCAGCCACTGGGGCCTTCGGTGGAGCTCCCTATGGGGCCACGAAACGTGTGAGGGATGATGATGATGATGATGATGATGATGATGATGATGATGATATGATGATGATGATGATGATGATGATGATGATGATGATGATGGTGATGGTGATGGTGATGGTGATGGTGATGGTGATGGTGATGGTGATGATGTGATGGTGATGATGATGATGATGATGATGCTGTATGATGATGATGATGATGATGATGATGATGATGATGATGATGATGATGATGATGATGATGATGATGATGATGATGATGATGATGATGATGATGATGATGATGATGATGATGATGATGATGATGATGATGATGATGGTGGTGGTGGTGGTGGTGGTGGTGGTGGTGGTGGTGGTGGTGGTGATGATGATGATGATGATGATGATGATGGCAGGAGGAAGGGGGCAGCGGGAGGAGGAGTGAACGCGGGGCGCTGTCTCTTCAAAACGAGGACCCAACACCACAGGATGGTTGGGAAAAAAACAACCAAAACACAAAAAAAAACAAATAAAACAAACAAAAACACAGAAATACACTAAAACAAAACGCAAACAAAAACAACAAAACAAATATAAAACACACACACACACACACAAGGCGGCCCACGCTGTCGATGCATGCTCTGCTCGCTGTGATGGCCTCGGGCCAGTGCCGCCGCTCCGGGGGGCCCCGGAGTCGGTGATCTTCGCGCGGCTCGGTGGCCTCCTCCCTCCTCGACTCTCCCGGTCCTCTTTCCTCGCCTCTGCATGGGGGGGTGCCTGGAGCGGTCCCGGGGGGGGGTCCGGGGAAGGTTCCGAGGGGAGGGTCCTGGGGGCGGTAGCGGCTAGATCTGAGGGGGGTCCTTGGGACCGCCCGAAGCTTTTTGGGGATGCGCACATCATTAAGAAAACGCCAGATGGGGGACCGCCCCCCCCCCCCCTCCCCCCTTTCCCTGGGGAGGATCTGGATGCGTAAATCATCAAGAAAACGCCAGATGGAGGACCCCCCTTCCCTCTCCCCACCTTCCTGGCAGAGCCACCCCGGCACCCCCCAAGCAGAGTTGAAGCTCTTGCTTAGGTTCAGAGCTGAAGCTATTGCTGAGGCTCCTTGTAGCTCACACGTCGGATTGGCGGACTTTGGAGTCCTTTTCCCTGCGCCTCCGTGATCCTTCTCCGTCATCATCCTGCTCGTCTTTCCCTCTCTTCCTGGGGAAGCCAGCAGGTACCAATACCGCTACTCCCAGGACCTCTCTTGGAGTGCGTTTTGACCAGGATTTCGACGCGGATCCGGCGTTGGCGACGAAGGCCGCCCAGGATGCCCAAAAAGGGGAAAGCAAGCGAAGGGTGGAGCTAGGAGGACTTTTTTTCCTTCTCTGACTTCATTCTCACCACCACAGCGCGCATCCTCCTGCGCCTCCGTGATCATCCTCCATCACCATGTGGTTCCTTTCCCTCCCCTCCCGCGCTGTGCCCAGACGAGGGAGCTGGCGGTCAGCTGCCTCCACCTGTTCCGTGGTCCTCCTCCTTCTCAGCTTTTTTCGTCGCCACCGTCCGTCATCTCCTTGCTCGCCTGTCATCATCGTCCTATTGGCCGCCATTCACATGGCGGACGTCATCCTCATCAGTCCTCACCACTCCTCTTCCCCTCCTGTCCTCTCGCAGGAGACCCGCTCGCAGGTTGTAGGGGTATCGCGCCACAGCATCGCTGGCGCCGTGGAGTGTGCCGCAACACTGATCGAGAGCTTATGCTGAGCATAGGCCGCGCTCACCTGAGTAGGGATCCCTCTCGCACTGGTGGTCCAGTCCAGTCCAGTCCTGTCTTCTCACCACCACAGCGCGCCCACGCCCTGGGCCCAGGCCAGCGAGCTCTACGAGCTGCTGGGCTCCCTCGAGCCGCCCGTGACGCTGGCATTCGGGCCCGACACCCAGGGCGGCTGCCCCTGGCGGCTCTCCCCCCCCGCCCTCTCCGCCCGCCGACGGCGACCGCGCGGCTGCGGCCACGGCGGCGGCGACGGCGGCGCCGGCGCACTCCCAGGGAGGATGGCTCCCTGGCGGTCGCCCCCGACGACGGCTTCGTGCCCCCCCCCCTCCGAGAAGGAGGAGGAGGAGGAGGAGGAGGAGGAGCAGGAGGAGGAGGAGGAGGAGGAGGAGGAGGACGGCGACGAGGGCAGCGAGGAGGAGGAGGAGGAGGGAGGAGGTGGACGACGACGAGGAAGGAGAGCCTCCCCGTCTCCATGTCCGTCCCAGTCTCTCTCTGGTCGAGGAGGAGGCGAGGAAAGCGAGGAGGGATGAGGAGGAGGAGGAGGAACGCAGAGGGAGGAGGAGAGTGAGGAGGAGCAGGAGGGCCTGGTGAGGTCAGTTGCCTCTGCGTGGGCGGCGGCACGCGCTCTCCTCATCTCACACTTCACGTCCCTCCCTCCCTCCTTTCCTCTTCTTCCTCCTCCTCCTCCTCATTATCCGTAAGGGCTTCGCCCCCATGCCGCCGGCCCCACTCTCTTAAAATGGGATTTGCCAGAACTGTGTTGGGTTGTCTGGACGCTGAGGTGAAGCAATGTCGGGACTTCACGCGAGGGCCAATATCCGTAAGCGTTTCGCCCCCTGCCGCTGGCCCCCTTTCTCGGATAATGGGCAATGCAAGAGCGAAATCATGAGGCCTTGGCGCCGCCGTGAAGCAGCGTCGGGACTTCACGCGAAGACGATGAGCAATCGGCAAGACAAATTGAGGTTATGATGATATTGTTGATTTCGGTGTTACATTGCGAGCTTGCTCGCGTATGCTGTGCAAAAAGCTGTTCTACGAAGTATTGAAATGTTGCAAATCCCATGTGTCTGTTGACCCTGACCCCACCGATCTGCGTGAGGGGTGCCATCGAATTTCAAGACATGTGGCAAATCCAATGTGTTTTCGACCCTGACCCCGCCGATCCGCATGAGGAGTGCCACCGAATATCAGAAATGTAGCAAATCTCATGTGTTTTTGCACCCAGACCCCGCCGATCTGCGTGAGGGGTGCCACCAAATGTCAGAAATGTGGCAAATCCTATGTGTTTTTGCACCCAGACCCCGCCGATCTGCGTGAGGGGTGCCACCAATTGTCAGAAATGTAGCAAATCTCATGTGTTTTTGCACCCTGACCCCGCCGATCTGCGTGAGGGGTGCCACCGAATGTCAGAAATTTAGCAAATCCCTAATGTTTTTGGACCCTGACCCTACGGATCTGCGTGAGGGGTGCCGCCGAATTTCAGAAATGTGGCAAAGACCTTGTGTTTTTGGACCCTGACCCTGCCGATCTGCGTGAGGGGGGCCACCAAATTTCAAGACATGTGGCACATCCCATGTGTTTTCGACCCTGACCCCGCCGATCTGCAGGAGGGGTGCCACCGATTTTTAGAAATGTGGCAAAGACGTTGTGTTTTGAAAGAGCGTGTTCTACCGCTGCTGGCGGAAAACCGAGGGGGGGTCACAACCCGTTCGACCCCCCCCCCCTCCGGAAAACCGGGGGGGTTCATTACCGGTGCGAACCCCCCCTCCCCCCCCACCCAGTCCATCATGAAAAGAGGGGGGGTCATTACATTACCGGTTCGAACCCTCCCTCCCCCCCTTCCCTCGAAAATTGAGAGGGGGTCACTACTGGTTCGAACCCCCCCCCCCCCTCGAAAACCGGGGGGTGTGCGGACAGAGGTGGGGACGGTGGTGGTGGGGACAGCGGTGAGGAGACAGCGGGACAGTGGTGGGGACAGTGGGACAGTGGTGGGGACGGTAGTGGTGGGGACAGTGGTGAAGGCGGTGGTGAGGACAGTGGTGGGACAGTAGCACGGTGGGGAAAGTGGTGGGGACAGTGGGGACTGTGGGACAGTGATGGGGACTGGGGACGCTGGGACAGCACAGTGGGACAGCGGCGGGGACAGTGGGGACAGTAGTGGGCACAGTGGGGACAGTGGGACAGTGGTGGGGATCGTGGGGAAAGTGGGGAGAGTGGGACCGTGGTGGGACAATGGTGGGGAGAGTGGGGACATTGACACACTGGGGGGGGCACTGGTGGGGACAGCGGGGACAATGGTGGGAACAGTGGGGACAATGGGACAGTGGTGGGGACGGTGGTGGTGGAGACAGTGGTGTGGGGACAATGGGAATGTGGTGGAAACAGTGGGACAGTGGAGGGTACAGCGGTGGTGGGGACAGTGGTGAGGGCGGTGGCCGGGACGGCGGTGGGACAATGGGACAGAGGCACAGTGGGGACAGTGGTGGGGACAGTGGGGACAGTAGTGGGAACAGTGGGACAGCTCAGTGGGACAGCGGAGGAGAGGACAGTGGGGACAGTGGGGATAGTCGGGCAGTGGTTGGGGCCGTGGAGAAAGTGGGGAGAGTGGAACAGTGGTGGGAACAGTGGTGGGGACAGTGGGGACAGTGCGACAGTGGTGGGGGCACTGGTGGGGACAGTAGGAACGGTGGTGGAACCAGCGGGGACAGTGGTGGTGAGGACAGTGGTGCTGGGAACAGCAGTGGGGACGTGGTGCGGGCGGTGGTAGGGACCGGGAGTCGAATGCTGGCGGTGAGGAGGGGGGGGAGGGGTTCGAACCGGTAGTGACCCCCCCGGTTTTCGAGAAGGAGGGGTGGGTGGGTTCGAACCGGTAGTGCCCCCCCCCGGTTTTCGAGGGGGAGAGGGAAGGGGTTCGAACCAGTAGTGACCCCCCCGTGTTCGAAGGGAGGGGGGTTCGAACCGGTAGTGGCCCCCCCCGGTTTTCTGGAGGGGGGTGGGGGGGTTCGAACCGGTAGTGACTTTCCTTCGGTTTTCTGGGGAGGAGGGGGGGGGGTTCGAACCAGTAGTGACCCCCCCCGGTTTTCGAGGGGGGGGGGTTCGAACCAGTAGTGACCCCCCCGGTTTTCTGGAGGGGAGGGGGGAGGGAGGTGGTTAGGGGAGGAGGAGGGTTTTGCCGGGGGAATGGGGGAAGAGGAGGGGGAATTTTCCACAGTAAAGCGGCGGTGGATCACGCTCTCTCGTGTTTTTGAATCTGGACCCCGCCGATCTGCGTGATGGGTGCCACCGAATGTCAGAAATGTAGCAAATCCCTTGTGTTTTTTGGACCCTGACCCCGCCGATCTGCGTGAGAGGTGCCACCGAATGTCAGAAATGTGGCAAATCCCAATGGTTCTTGGACTCTGACCCCAGCGATCTGCGTGAGGGGTGCCACCGAATCTTAGAAACGTGGCAAATCACAGTGGTTTTCGGACCCGACTCCGCCGATCTGCGCGAGGGGTGTCGCCGGATTTTAGAAATGTGGCACATCCCATTGGTTTTTCGACCCTGACCTTGCCGATCTGCGTGAGGGGTGCTGCCGAATTCTAGAAATGTGGCAAATTCCATATGTCTTTCGACCCTGACCCCGCCGATCTGCGTGAGGGATGTAAGTTTCGACCCCCCAGACATTTTGAGAACCCTCCCATGAGGTGCTAACCAGTGTACTTTTCGGCTCCTCCCCTCGCGCGGACTACAACCAGGAACAGTAAGCAGCATGAAGTTGAACTGTAACAGTGGAAGCTGGAAACCGGAACTGGCGCAGGGAACCGCAAACCCTGGTCCTACAGCTTGGTGGCCCCACAAGGGGGCCGGCGGATTAATTCACGAGGGTTTATGGCTTCGGTGGCGCGACTACGAAGTGATTTACAATGTTTATGGCTTCGGGGGCACGAATAGTGTGTAATTTTCGAGGGTTTGGCCCTGGGGACGCAAATATCGTGTGATCTACACGGATGTATGCCCGAGGGGGCGCGAATCCTGTACAATTTATTAGGTTGTATCGCTTCGGGGACGTGAATATGATATAATATGGTAGGGTTTGTGGCCTCGGGGACGCAAGTATGGCGTAGTTTACCAGGGTCGATGGCCCTGGGGGCGAGAAGATCGTGTCATTTTCGAAGGTTCGTGGCTTCCCTGCGTGAGTTTATGGTCTCGGGGGCGCGAAGATGGAAGAGTTTATGGCTTCGGGGGCGCGAATTTTGTAACCTACCAGGGGTTCGGCTTCGGGGACGCGAGTATCGCGCAATTCTTTAAGGTTTATGGCTTCGGGAACGCGAATCTGATGTAATTGAGCGGGGACTGGCCTCGGGGACGTGAATGTCGCGTATTTTGTTTAGGCGTCCCACGCCCCCCCCCCCCCAGGAATTCTGACAACGCGATATGGGCGTGGTAGAAAAGCTGCTTTGGGGCTCCCCCTCCTCGCGCGTTCGGCAACAATTCACAGTGAGGGAGCAAAAAGGCAGGACTGACAGTGAAAACTGGAAACTGCAACTGGAACAGGGAGCTGCATGCCTCACCCTTGCAGCCTGGTGGCCCCAAAAAGGAGGCCGGCGGATGGAAAGTGGCGACAATTTCACGCTTCGCATCCCCCCATGGATGGCGAGGTCCCGTTTGGGTCCGCGTGGGGCCCCTCTGTGTTGCCCACCCCCCTTCCCCCCAGCAGCTTTCGAGTGTGGCGACGGTTGCATGCTTCGCAGCCCCCCAGGGATGGCGAGGTCCCATTTGGGTCTGCGTGGAGCCCCGTTGTGCTGCCCCTTCCCCCAGCAGCCTTCGAAAGCGGCGACAGTTTCACACGTCGCAGCCCCCCAGGGATGGCGAGGTACCGCTTGGGTCCGTGTGGGACCCCATTGTGTTGGCTCCCTAGCAGCCCTCGAAAGATGCGACAGTTTCACAGATCGCAGCGCCCAAGAAGGCGAGGTAATTACCGTTTGGGTCCTCGTGGGACCTCATTGTGTTGCCCCCCCCCCCCAGCAGCCCTCGAAAGTGGCGACAAGCTTACGCTTCGCATCCCCCCTAGGGATGGCGAGATCCTGTTTGGGTCCGCGTGGGGCCCCACTTTGCTAGCCCCTCCAGCAACCTTCGAATGTGGCGACAGTTGCGCAAATCGCAGCCCCCCATGGATGGCGAGGTTTCATCTGAATCTGCGTAAGACCGCACTGTGCTGCCCCCCCCCCAACAGCTTTCGAAAATGGCGACAATTTTGCAGATCGCAGCCCCCCAGGGATGGCGAGGTCGAGTCTGAGTCTGCATAGGACGTTACTATGCTGGCCTCCCCAGCAGCCCTCGAAAGTGGCGACGACTTCCCAGATCGCAGCCCCCCCCCGGGGATGGCGAGGTCTTATCTGATTCTGTGTAAGACGTCATCATGCTGCCCCCCCCCCCCCCCCAGCAGCCTTCGAAAGTGACGACAAGTTCGCTGATCGCAGCCCCCCCACGGACGGCGAGGTCTAATCTGAGTCTGGGTAGGACGTCATTATGCTGACCCCCCCAGAAGCTGGCCCCCCCAGAAGCCCTTGCAAGTGGCTCCGCAGATCGCAGCCCCCCAGGGACGGCGAGGTTTAATCTGAGTCTGGGTAGGACGTCGCTCTGCTGCCCCCCCCCCCCAGCAGCCTTCGGAAGTGGCGATAGTTTCGCAGATCGTCCCCCCCAGGGATGGCGAGGTCGAGTCTGAGTCTAAGTAGGACGTCACTATGCTGGCCCCCCCCCAAGCAGCCCTCGAAAGTGGCGACACTTGCCGCAGATCGCAGCCCCCCTGAGATGCGAGCGCTAGTCTGACTTTGGGTGGGACGTCACTATGCTGGCCCCCCCAGCAACCCTCGAAGGTGGCGACAGTGCCGCAGGTCGCAGCCCCCCAAGGATGGGATGGCGAGGACGTCACTCCGCTGGACCCCCCAGCGACCACAGCGCTATACTCAAAACGAATACCCAACCAAAGAGGGTTGGGAATAAAGCAAGAGGCCAGGGCAGGAGGAGGCAGGAAGAGGGAGGCGGGAGGAGGACGAGGACGTGGAGACCACAGTGCTCCATTGAACACGAATACCCAACCAAGGAGCGGTGAGACATACAAAGTGCTCGTGGGCCTCACGATCATGTCTCAAGATTTTGCCCCAAAGTGTGCTTTGTATCGTTTTTGACAGGAGTGATAGGGGGGGCGCATTGGGTTGGTTGCGTATGCTCCGAATTTGGAAGCAGAGTGTGCTTCGTATTGTTCTTTGACAGGCACGGTGGGGGGGTGAGCATAGTGTCGGCATTGTTCCTGGTTGGCTGCCGGTCGCTTGGAAAAGGGGGTGTATGGGAACAGTGATAGACCCCTCCCCCAAGCAAGGGAAGGAGGGTTTTGATCTATATATAGAGAGAGGGAGAAGAACAGTTAGTTAAACCACCTGCGCACAGAGGGCTTGTGGGATTACATCTGGCAGTGCGGCAGTCACAAAAAACGCTGATATTGAACATCACACTTCTACAGGTGAAACATATGTGTACGACTCTGAGCTGCCATATAAAGAAAACGTGTGATGGTTTATCGCAATTGCTTTTCCAAACTATCCTTTGGTGTTGGGTCCTCGTTTTGAATCAGCGGCGCCCACGTCTCCTTTTCTCCTCTCATCCCCTCATCCCTCTTCCCTCCTTCCCATCCCTGCCTCTGCCCTCCGCATACACATGTCGGCACACCCCTGACACGTTTCGGCTCCGACAGGGTTCCAGCGGTTGCAGACGCATGGTGTCGCCGCACCCGTTTCGGCACACCCCGTTCACGTTTCGCTCCGCCGAAGGCCCTGGTGGCTGCGTTCGCATGGCATTGCTGCACCAGAGCTCCGCCGAAGGCCCCAGTGGCTGCGTTCGCATGGCGGCGCCACACGCCATGTTGGGACACCTCTCACACGCTTCGTGGCCCCACAAGAAGCTTCGCCGAAGGCCCCAGTTGCTGCGTTCGCATGGCGTTGCCGCACCAGTTTCGGCAAGCCTAAGACGCGTCGTGGCCCCATAGGGATCTCCGCCGAAGGCCCCAGTGGCTGCGTTCGCACGGCGTCGCCGCATCCATTTCGGCGAATACCTCACACGTTTCGTGGCCCCACGGGTGGGGCTCCACCGAAGGCCCCAGTGGCTGTGTTCACAAGGCATCGCCGTACCCATTTCGGCACGCCCCTCATACGCTTCGTGGCCCCAGAGCTCCGCCGAAGGCCCCAGTGGCTGCGTTTGCATGGCGGCGCCGCACCAATTCCGGCGCATGCCTCACGCTTCGTGGCCCCGCAGGGAGCTCCGCCAAAGGCCCCAGTGGCTGCGTTCGCATGGCGGCGCCACACGCCATGTTGGGACACCTCTCACACGCTTCGTGGCCCCACAAGAAGCTTCGCCGAAGGCCCCAGTGGCTGCGTTCGCATGGCGTTGCCGCACCAGTTTCGGCAAGGCTAAGACGTGTCGTGGCCCCATAGGGATCTCCGCCGAAGGCCCCAGTGGCTGCGTTCGCACGGCGTCGCCGCATCCATTTCGGCGAATACCTCACACGTTTCGTGGCCCCACGGGTGGGGCTCCACCGAAGGCCCCAGTGGCTGTGTTCACAAGGCATCGCCGTACCCATTTCGGCAAGCACCTCACATGCTTCGTGGCCCCATGGGGAGCTCCGCCGAAGGCCCCAGAGGCTGCGTTCGCATGGCGTCGCCGCACCCATGTCGGCACACTCCGCCGAAGGCCGCAGTAGCTGCGTTCGCATGGCGGCACGGCGCCCTATTTTGGCGCACCCTTCGCACGCTTCGTAGCCCCATGGGGAACTCCGCCGAAGGCCCCAATAGTTGTGTTCGCATGGCGGCACCGCGCTCATTTGGGCGCACTCATCTCCCGCTCCATGGCTCCATAGAGAGCTCCGCCGAAGGCCTCAGTGGCTGCGATCGCATGGCGGCCCCGCACTCATTTCAGGCGCACGTTTCATGGCCCCGCAGGGAGCTCCACCAAAGGCCCCAGTGGCTGCATTCGCATGACGTCGCCGCACCCATGTCGGCACACACCTCACACGTTTGTTGGCCCCATGGGGGGCTCCACGGAACGCCCAAGCTGCAGGGACCGCATGGCAGCGGCACCGCGCCGATCCCGGGACACCCCTCAAACACTTCGTAACTCCAGAACAAGGTTTTACGCCCAAATTGCAGCGACCGCATGGCGGCACCGCCCTATTTTGGCGCACCGTTTACACGATGGGTGGCCCCATAGTGGGCTCCACCA